TTAAAATAATTTAATCTTTTATTTTATTTATTTATTTTAAGTGTAAATAAATGTTATTTATATTTAATATTTGTTAATTTGAAATAAAATTAATTTTATATAAAAATATAATAAAAATATCAATAATTTAATTTTTTTAAAATTAAATTAACATTACTTTAATTTTTTTAAAATTAAATTAACATTACTTTAATTAAAAGATTATAAGTTTTTATAGATAATAAATTTTGAAATTTTAAGACTTTAAATATATTTTTTTATAATTAATAATTATATATCAAGTTAATCAAATATAAAAAAAAAATCATCAAAAGTAAAAATTTGATTAATCATATTAATTATATAAAGATTTATTTTGTTAAAAGTTTAAATTGTTAATCAATATATATGATTTAAATAATTTTATTTTGAATATTTAATAACATTATTATTTTATTTACTATTTAAAAAAGATTACTTTTTTATTTTATTTAATTTTCAAAAATTGTAATTAATACTATATATTCTTTTAAAAAACAAGATATTATATTAATTTTCAGATCACCAATATAAACAAGATTGATAACTTTTGTTTATATTCCTTGATTTATTTATAATTTTAATATCATATAATCAAATTTTCAATATTTCAAATATCAAAAAAATTATTTATTTTGATTATTCTAATAAAATCTTTATTTTAATATCATATTTAACTAATTTTAGATTATAACTTTTACTTGTATATGATTTATTAGAATCTTTATAAACATCAAATATAATTAACCATTTAATTCAAAATGCATTTACAGTATTATTTTTTGAAAATAAATTTTCATTACATATTAAAAAAAGTTTTTTAATTTTAATTGTAATTTATTTTTTTTTTAATATATAGTAGGTTTTTTATATTGACTTAGATAAAAAGTAATGTGAAATGAAATTCTTAGTTATTTTATTTATTTATTTTATTTATTATTTTTATTTATTATTTTTACTTATTATTTTTACTTATTATATTTCTCTATTTATTCAAATTACGACATGGAGTGTCTGTGTTTTTTTTTTTTGCATATGCATTTACGACGCGCGAGAAAATGTAAAAAACTCACTTCACTCTTTTAGATCGCCTTTCTCAAGAGATTATTGCTCACCTTATATTAGATTAATAACAAGTCAGGGATATTTTCGAATGTCAATGGATATTGGAATTTTTAACTCATGTATCTGAAAATTATCGTAAATATTAAATAATACCATTTGGAATGAGACAAAGTATGAAACGAACGTGCACGTGTAATTGAATCCATCCTTCATATTCACGATGACGAAACCAACATCAAACAAATAGCCCAACTTATCTCATGCAAGCGTCAAGTGCCAGATGCCTGACGGTGTGTATGGTATACAAGTTACATAAAAACCTTTACAAATAAAAATCACTTTTTTTTTGAAGATATGCAATACTCTCTTCTATTCTGTATCAGTATGTAGGACAAATCAATGATTTACACAACGAACGAAATCCACCCGTAGTTTCATATTCGAGAATGCCACCCAAATCGAAATCCTCAAGAACCAATACACTGAAAGATGATAAAAAACAAACAAAGATCTCAACACCCATAAAAAAATTTTCTGAATCATCAAAATGGCCAAGTTTTTTGTTAAAATCGGATTTGCAACTACAAACTCTGCTTGAAAATCAAATTGTTGTAATTCCTTCATTTCTCACACATCAAGAGTGCACCAACTTGATAAACTTTATCGAAAAAAACATTCCCCTTGAACAAACCGTTCCAAATAAAGGTGAAGCTTTCAGAAATAATGATAGGTTTTCTATCGAAAATCCGAAATTCGCGGAAAGCCTTTACCAATCTGGGTTGAATTCACTGGTTTCTCATTGGAAATCTTTTGTTTCAACAAAAAAATCTGTCGTGGGACTTAATTCAAACATCCGAATTTACAAATATAGTACGGGACAACAGTTTGGTCAACATTATGATGATTTTGCTAAGGATTCATTGGGGAGAATGAGCGAGTGGACTTTATTAATTTATTTAAATGGTGGACATAACGAAGTCGATGTACCGCTTTCAGGAGGCGAAACGGTTTTCTATAAAGCCAAGAGAGGAGAGATTGTTGTTGCACCCGAGAGAGGGATGGCTTTGTTACATAAACATGGTCATGATTGTTTGTTGCATGTAAGCAATGAGAATTTCATCATTCCGATTTCCGATTTTTCATCAGTTAACTCTCAGGTTTATTTTTTAGGAAGCAAAAGAAGTCAAGAGAGGCAATAAATATGTTCTGAGGAGTGATTTAATGTTTGCCTAAAGATCTCCGCAAATAATAACCAATTTTATTTTCTCGAACTCAATAAAAACAATTTGAATTCTCGATATTCAATTTTTTTTTTTCCATTAATTTTCTTTACGCCTCTTACTTGCCGGATCGGCTTCGTCGATAAAAATATTTTTCTTGTAAAATTTCAATTCCTCAACACTTTCCTTGATGTCATCTAAAGCTCTGTGAGTGAGTTTCTTTGCGGGCATGTTAACAAAAGTACTGGGATACCATCTTTTACATAATTCCTTGACACTACTAACGTCAATTATACGATAATGCAACCAATCTATCACCTCTGGCATTTCCTTTTTCAAGAATGCCTTATCCGCATGGACAGTATTTCCCGCCAAGGGTGCGATGCCTTTTTTGGGGACATGAGTTTTCAGGAAATCAAGAATTTGGGCGGATGCTTCAGAGGTACTTATCTTCGATGCTAAGACTTCGGCTGTTAACCCGGACTGAAATAATTTCAAAGTTATCATGTGATGACTTAAAACGTCTTTGAATCTACAGAAACTTCGTTTATTATATTAACCTTTCCATGATGCGTCTTGCACCACTCTGACATGTTGTTCATCGTTTCTTCCGTCTGATGGATTACAAGATCTGGTCCCTTTCATTCATAGATTGTGAAAGAAGAGAATTATCATCACCAACAGGCAAACGTATTTCTTGTTAAAAATTAATCGACAACGGAAAGAAGGAGGCAAGATAAACCAGATAAAAACCTCGGCTAAAATATTTAAATCTCCGTCAGTGATCAAGACGGCAACCTCAATGAGATGCTCGGTTTCGACATCCAAACCGGTCATCTGTTATATATTCGTATTGGAGCAAGAAAAATGAATAAAATGTTCATCAATCGATCATGAGAAAATTTCTCATAATTTAAACACCTCACAATCGATCCAAACGATGGGATCCTGAGACATCTTGATGAGTCCTTCTATTCGATTTTGATTTCTTTTAATAAATTTATGATTTCTACTCGAAGCGCGAACAATATTTACATGAGAAACTTTATGATTTGAAATCTTTTTGTGAAAGGGAAAGAGATTGCAACAAAAATCGTTTATTAATTTTTGTCGCCACCTTGACATAAATGACATTTTCGAAAAGGAACGCAAACTTCCCATTTGGTTATGATTCACGTTTCACGAAATCTAATCGATAATTCCAATTTCAGCCAATAAGAACAATAAACGAAAACTATCTGAAACTTCTCAATTTTCAATCCGTTTCCTGTGAAATTTAGTTCAATCCGGAAATGCCTCAACCATTGATTCTACCTTTTCGGTATGCAATAGTTGAAGATGGGGTATACCGAGGAGCGTATCCGAAGAATCGGAACTATCGTTTCCTTAGAAGGTTCGTATTAGCTTCTTTTTTAACCAAATTTGTGCTCTCCTTTGGTACGTAAATCATTATATAATGTAAAAAAAAATATATGTATCATGCATATTATAATATTATAGGCTCAAATTAAAAACAATCCTTGCCCTAATTCCAAATCAACCTGTTCCAGAATTACTAGAATTTTGTCAACAAGAAAATGTCCGTAATATTCATCTTCAGGTTGCGAAGGTTAAAGATAATGTGCCATTAAGTTATAGCAAAGTCGTTCAGTCCATTCAGGTACACGTGTCTCTGTGTTACAATCCTTCTTTTAGTAAATGCACGATTATTCATTTTCATTAATAGATAATAATAGACCCCACGAATCATCCAATATTCGTACATTGCTTGGATGGAGCTAACGTCACTGGATTGGTGATCGCTTGTTTAAGAAAATTACAAATGTGGAGTATTCCTTCGGCGATGGGGGAATTCCTACGGTTGGAAAGATTTTCGCTCAGAAAAAATAATTTTTTTTTTTTTTAAAATCCTTTCCACTTGTTTACCTATAAATTCCGATTACCTAGACATCTTCGTGGTGGTGTGATATCATCTGAAGAAAGCGAATTTGTGGAAAAGTTCTCTGCCGAGATTGAAATCCCACGTGTCATTCCTCCGTGGTTGTGGGGAGGTCACGTCACTTTTAACAAACATCCAACCCTCAAACTGAAATTTTTGGATCCCACCATGATCGGACAACCAGAGCAGAAACAACAAAAAAAGAAAGGTGGTCTAAATATTGAGGCGGATGATAAAAAGGACTACCTGGAAATAGTTAGCGGTAATTATGATTATTTATTGTTTATCAATCTGAGTACACCGTTTCCTCTATACATATTAAACACTATGCCAACCGATTTGTTGGACGGTTCGTTGTTGAACCTTCTATTAACATCACAACAGAATATGATTCAAGGGGGAGTACGATCGTTGAAGAAGCGGAAGTATCAATGACTTTACAGGCTTTGGCGTTGGAAGTTCTAAAGAGATGAGCACTAGATCTATAGTACTTGGTAGTTTTCATGTGTAAAAATTGTGATTTCTATTTCTTTATCTATTGCTTATTTGCATACAATGGGGAATCTGTGGCAAGAGTGTAATCCTTTCCACCGACTGTAGCATTACCCCCTTGGACTCCAAAAGTAGTTGTGGATCCGTAGTTCTCGCCAGATCTTAATGACGGCCACGAGATGCCATTAGCTTAAACGGATGTCGCAATTAAATCAGCTTCATTGCAACTAGTAACGATTCATATGGAATACGAAAAAAAAATGTGAATTGTTATACATTACCCTTTTTTAATTTAATCTCAACTTTAGTAGAAAGGAACTCATATTTGGAGTTTTCTGGGTCAATTGGTTGATAGAGTGAAAAGGTTTCCACAAATCTTTTACCGTCGGTAGCCTTGAGGTCAACCACCAACTGTAATCAAAATGTTTCACCCTTATTATTATTCCTCTGTAAATAACAATTTTTGTACTTTCAAACATTGGAGTAAGCGGAATCCAAAATAAAACGAACCTCCTTTTCCTTGAAGACAACAGTGGAAACTTGTTTATCAGTCTTCTTTAGAAATATGGACATAATGACATGGGCCGGAGTCTGGTACCTTTATGAATATGGTTAATATTAAAATATAAAGATAGTGGAGCGGATACAGAAAACGAAAAACATCGAAAACAAACCAGTCGTGCCGGCACGTTACGATCTCTTCAATCTATTTCGAAATCCAAGAAAAAAAAAATGTGAATTTTTTTCGATCAGAATTTGACTTCGAAAGAATCACTTCCAAAAACCGGTAATATTTGTACGTCTGTAATATGATTGATCGAACCTGATTTTGACTGGGTCCAACAAATAGGTGATTCCCCGACTTGCAACCTTTGATTTTTAGGAACTCCTCGAATTCCAAAACTTTCCGAGAGCAGCAGCTCCAACCTAATTAGAGAAAACTTTGTAACTAATTGATACTAATTGATTCTAATTGATTCTGTCATGTACCATTTGTTCTCTATCAAACATACCTTTGCTACCCTCGTGAAAGATCGGAACCCCGGGATGATATATACATCTGGCCTTGGGGCCTTCGCCGCGGTTAGTTGCTTCGTCCACGTATGACTCATCGCAAGCTTTTCTTTTGCACTTTGTTCCAGGAGCGACCGGAATGCTAAGATCATCTTCAGGATCTTCAACCGGTTGTACAGGTTTTTCCGCTGCGGAAGGCGGCAGAATTGAGGTGGATGTTGGTGGTGTGTATTTTGCGCCGGTACCATATACTTCCACGCCATTTTCATCAACGCTGGTGACCTTCGGGGCATTTGAAGGAGCAACGATGTCTCGATCTGTGCTCTTGTTCGTTACGGTTTCTGGGGGTTTTTGAACTTCAGAAGAATGTCGACTAGTGCATGATAAATGAGCGTTAATGGTGCGTTGACGATGGTAGACAGTCTTAAGAATTCTAATAGGAATTACCCTCGAGTACAACCCGGAATATTCTGAAATTCTTCAAATGTGGTAACCCTGCGTTTACAACATTGCCATCCCTTTAATCCTAGGATTTTACAGGAAACAGATCTTAATCAACTTTCAACGTGGCGCAGTCGCCATGTAATAAAAAGACCGACGAAAGAAAACCAACCTTCATGAAAAATCGGAGGTTTCGGATGATAAAGGCATGCTTCATCATTATTCTCCTCCTCATTATAAGTTTGCTCGCATCCTTTATGAACACAGACTGGCATATTTTTTTTTTTATAAAATTGAATAATTTAAGATTGAAATTACTTGTGATTAATGGAGAGAACGACACAGTAACAACGAAATAATCGACTTAACGATAACATTCGGCGATCTTTTTTTTTTTATACCTTCATCTGCAATATGTTAGTCCACGTGGTAAAATTAATGAGGATGACGATATCCATTCTAGCGTGTTCTAGTAAGTGCCAAATAACCAAAGAGTCGATGCATTGTAGGGATTCTGTACCACGTATCGTACTGCTAGAACAAGATAGCGGTCGAGGTCTGTTTACGTCCGAGTTTGCTTGGATTTTACACGATCTGCATGTGATTAAATTCTAGATTTTCATTAATACGTATACTTACTTTTGACTTTTTTATTAAATACGGGTTTTTTATTTTTATAGAAAATTTGAATGTTAAAAAAAGTTTTTTTCTGCCGTAAGTGTAATCTGGAATCAAAAAAAAACAAACGGATATATGCATGTATACTGTATATATTTTACCCGATATGTTTTTACATAAAAGGATTTAAAATAACGATGATTATTTGCTTTTTTTTAAAAGAAAACCCTCAAAAGTAAAGGGGAACGGATTGATAGATACACTCCGTCGTCCATTAAATTATCTATTTTTCTTACATATTGTAATTAACGAGTCAAAAGATGCCATGATAATTAACAAACGGAATAGATTATTAAAATTTAAAAATTGGTGTATCGAAAAAATTATGGTCTATGGTGGCAAATTATCGATTATTTTTAATTAATAAAAAAAGACTTAAATAAATATATACTGTATGTAATTTATTAAAAACTTCTTTTATGAACCTCGATTATAACTCAAATCATATTTTTTTTATTTGGTAAGATATATAGTTCACGTGATTTGATATGTTTATGCTTTGTCATTGGCTATTATTGTGTAGTTACCTGCGAAACATTATTGCATTCTTTGAAAATATTCTGCGTATGATAAAATTTATGAATGGCAAGGATGAAAGACATGTGTAAAATATTCTTATACTGTATTTCCCTTCAAAATCTCACAAATCTCCAAGAGCCCTAGCAAGCCAACAGAAGGTCACGGTGTGCACAAGAATATCATAGCACGTCCCAATGGTATGCCACCAATGCCATTTGGTCTTTTTCTTTGCTTCCCATCCCTGGGCTGCTGACCAGACCAATACATTCCTAACAAATTTATTGCCCAAAAAATTTGCATGGTCTGAGAGAATTTCGTCATCACGTGATTTTTTATCTGTAATCTCAGTATCGTTTGCGTTGTTTCTTCGAGAAATCGAATCTCGAGTAATTGAAGTCTCTATCATGGTGCTGAACGTAGATTCGCAAGTGAAAAATGTATCACCGGAGTTTTCACAAACCACAGACTCATCCAATGTTAAGAACAACTGAGTTGCAGTTTTGCTTTCCTCGGTTGATAAAGGAATTGTTGGTTCTCCGTCAAAGTCGATAAGATCATTATTTTCAGGTTCTCTTTTTTTTTGCAAATGCGCAGTATCTTGAGGTGAAGTTGTAATAGTGTTAGATTTAGTGCTTCCCTTGTCATCTACACCATCAATACCAATTGATTTATTTTCACGTGCCTTGCTTTCCCTTCGTTGATTTTTCAGATATGTCCAGTATCCACTAAACCATCCACTAATGTAAAAAAAATGTAACAAGAAATGACCAGCCGCCAAAATGGTTGTGATAGGATGCAACAGTTTCATTTCATCTTTGTTTAATCTGACAAATATGTAGCCATGCTTATCGCGACCTTCAAGATCGCCGTTATCCACAAAAATCAAATTCAAAACCATACAAGAGACAACAACTGACAGAATATCACATAAAAAGTAGAAGGAACGATTCCAGAGTTGCTTTGCGGTGTAGTGACCGTTAGGAAACCGAATGCTTAACAGAACCTTTAAGTGAGCAAGGGCGTGAAACAGTTCGCTGAAAAGAAGGGCAAAGAGTACCCTACGAAGTTTGGTGTTATCGGTAAGGAATAAGTCGCATATTTCCTCCACCTTCCACATTTCAAAGAGAGAAGTAAACATGATCTCTGGAGGCTAAAAAGAATGTATATTAAAGAGTAGAGTTGATAGGGAGAATGGCAAAAACAGATAGATGTCAAAGCCAATTCTCTATCGTCTTTTTTTTTTAATAAATAAAACAAATGAAAAGTATATATCTCTTTAACATGCAAATTTCGTGATATATTAAATTTCAATGGATGATACATTAAAAAAAAAAAGCCTCATTAATCCCAGTATATTTGATGAGTGCATTATGACGATAATTTAAAGATGATATCAAAGATGCGTGATTTATTCGAAATTTGATTAATTAGACTCCAAGAAAAAACGCTTTTGATAACAAATGTTAGCAAACACGTCTTTATACAACGATCCAATTGCCAGGGTCGAGTGGTATTTCACAGCGTCAGGTTGCCCTAACTCAGCAGTTTAAGCAGATTGTTTCTTTCTCCATTATGATTCCTGTCCATTCTTAACCCGCAACTCCTACATTCAAAGATATTGCATCTGCCTACATTCTCCTTGATCATTCACATTGTCTACGGTGTCTCGCTCTTGTATTCTTTGGTGCGCAGGCACAGAATTTGTTTCAGGCACTTTGATATCTTATGCTTTAAAAATCACAAAATCTATAATGTGCAGGGGTATTCATGGCTCATAATTTTTTATTCATCTTGCTCAAGCACAAGAAGAATGATTACATGATGATTCTCATACAGATATCTTATGCTTATCATTAATCAAATTATATATTTTAAGTTGGATTCAATCAATATATCTTTTTATAAGTACATATCTTCAACTGTTTGTTCTAGTATCTGTTATAATATATACAAAGTTACTGTATACTGTATATTGTTATATACTATTGTTATTTTTAAAAAAAATAATAATTAACATAATATGTTAAGAATCCTAAGTATGCATAGAATTAATACAATTGTGAGATTAATAAAGTTCCATAACAATAACAATAATATGTAATGATTTATTTTTTTAAGAAGCAAAATATTTTTCTTTTTATTGATTAAATAGAAATTCAATTTTATAATTTTAAAAAAAATTGAAAATATCTATACAGTATATTAAAAAAAAAAATCACACAAATTTTTTATATTAAATATTTATTGCTAAATTTGACAGATAACAATTTATATAGAACAAAATAATTACAAAAACAAAATATATTTATATTTACAGTATATTTAAGATATATTATATTTGAAAAAAAAACAATTTAATTTTTAAATAGAAATATTTTTGATTTTTGATTTTTGATATTTTGAAAAATGTTATAAAATTCAATTAAAAAACCTTTATACAAATATATTTTAGGTTTTAAAAAATTGAAAAATAATTTTTAAAAATTTTAAATATATACATAATATTCTGTTATAATAAAACAAATAAATAAAAATTTGTTAATATTTCAAATTCTTGTTTTTTTAACTTTATTTTATTTATAATTTATTTACTTTAAATATTTATTTTAATAAATAATAATAATAAACTAATAAAAATAATTATAAGATAAACTTATTTTTTATACTTTAAAAAAATTATTTATAAATTTTTAAATATAAATATGATTTCAATTTTTTTTTAATATATTATATACTGTATATATTTATATAATATAAATTGATATATTATATTATGATAATTTGATTAATTATAACAAGTAAATACTCAATAAATATTCAGAATTGCAGTTTGATTAGAGGAAAAAAAAAATAACAAATAAATATACTTTAAATAAATAATTTAAAATAATAATAATAATAATAATATTTAAAATTATTTATATATTATATAAATTGATTAATTTAAAATTAAATAAATTGTAAAATAAAATAATAATAAAATTAATATTGATTCAAATTAAATTATTCAATTGCTAAATTACAATTAATGAAATTTAAATTTATTAATAAAAAGTTATATAAACTGTTTTTTTAATCAGCTTTACTTTTTTTAATCAAGTAACCTTTTTGTTTTTTAATTATATTAATTAATTTTTATCAATATTTTATAATACTTTAAATTTTTTAATTAAAAAATAATTGTGTTTTTAATTTTTTTTTTTTTATAAAATCTGTAAATCCATAATATAATATTTAATGTTTTATAGGTTAAATTCTAAAATATTAATTCAATTCTAGATAAAAGTAATTAAATAAAATTAATATAATATTTGATAATATAATCTATTATAAATATTATTTCTTATAAAAAACAAATTTATATATTTAGTAAGTATTAAAATTGTAATTTTCAGAAAAAATATTATAATATAAAAATTGTTCTATAGATATTATAATGATTATTAAAAGTTGTAAAATATATAAAATATCCACTTTTAATAAAATAATTTGATAATTATTTCCTATAATATCTAATGTCTCTTTTTACAAGTTTTTAAAAAGATTTTATTTTAATCCAATAATAAATTATTTCAACAATTACTTATTTTAAAAAGATAATTAAAACAATAATAAATACTGATAACTAAAATAATCTATAAACAATAAATTTATAAGATAAGTTTCTTAAATATTTTTGTATAGCTTTAGAAGAAATGAAAATTAAATAATATATTTATTTATAAATAGTTAAGTTTAAAAGAATTTTTCTATAAGATTCTATTTATCTAATAGATATCATTTAGTTTTTTTTTTCAAATTTTTTTTGATTAAAAATAGAATTTAATATATAATAAGAATACTAATAGTACTATAGTATATTAACTTTAATCAATAAAAATCCTTAAATATAAAATCAATAGCAACAAACTAATATAAAAATAAAATCTAATATAGTTTAAATAATTATCTAGAATAATTCATAAGTAGTAACTTCCTATAATATATGATAAATATATATAAATTAAATAAAAATATACTAGATATGATTTCAAAAACAAATTTGTATAAACTTGCATAAAGTTTAAAACATTATTAAAAATAGTAATAAGTTATAATTCATATATTAAATTTAATATAAATTTAAGAATCAAGAATTGAATTGTTAGAATTCTTAAATATAATTTAACTAGTTAAGTTAAAAAAAAATTTTTTTTTCTATATTTAAACAAAATATATATTATTTATTAAATTCTTACAAAAAACAAATAATATATATTATATTATATTATATAAACTATTTTACTGCCTTGAATATTTGTCTTTAATTAATATTTTTAAATATAATTTTAAAAATAAAAAATATTGTTTTCTTTAATATTTACTTATTTATAAAATTTAATCTTAAAAATTATTGCTTGCAGTTTATTACTATAGTTTATTTAAATAAAATCATAATCACTTTTTATATTTCTAGTTATTTTTTTCTTCTTTAATCCATTCACAAATTAAGATTTTATTTTAAACTTGAAAATTAAAATCTTTTATATTGTCTTTTTGTAAAATCTTAAGACTTGTTTTTTTCTGTTTTTGGTTTTTTGTTTTTTTTATTAATATTTTTTTTTTATATTTACTGTATATTTTTTGAGCTTTTTTCTTAAGTTTTGTAATTTAATACATTTGTTATTTCATATCTTTTTTTGAATTTATTTGTAAATATTTCTTATAAGCTGTTTTAATAACTACTTTGCTTTACCAGTTTTGATTTTGATTTTAGCTATTGATTGTATCTATTTTCTGATATTTATTTTTAAAAAAAGTTTTAAGCATATATTTATAATATTTATATTTATAAAAAATTTTTTCTTATATTATTTCTATAGGAGATCTTATATAATAACTTGTTTACCTTATATTTTTCTTTCTATATAAATTTCAATCATTTGTTAAATATTTGGTCTTGAATCTTATTTCATATTTCTTTACATATTTTTAAGATATTGTTATAGAAAAAAAATATTTAAATAATTCTTCTTCTTGTTAACAATATAAACAATTAATAAATTTTTATATTTTATAAGAAATCTTTTAATTATAAATCACACACCTTGTGTACATTCCACTATAAAAAAAAAAAAAGAAATCTTTTAATTATGCTATTTTAGAATTGATAGTTTGTTATATATTATTTTTATATGAAAAATTTTTTCTTTAGCTTGTTTAAATAATATTATTAAGAATTATTTTACTTTGTTTATTTTTCAAAAACTTTTTTAATCAAAATTTTTTTACAGAGGGTTGCCAAAAGTTTATGGACACTTTTTAAAAATTTAAAAAAAAATTTTTTATAATAATATATTTATATATCAATCATAAATCTGACTTTTATTATATGACTAATATTTTGTAGGGCCCCCTTCTGCCATAATACAAGCTTCAATGCGACGTGGCATACTCTTGACTAATCGCTGACAATCATTTAGACTTATTTCACTCCAACACTTTTTAACAAGATCCTCGAGTTCTGTTAAATTTTTAGGCTTAGGTGTAATTTTTCGAAGACAATATTTAACGAGATTCCAGAGATTTTCGATCGGGTTAAGATCTGGGCTCTGTGAAGGCCAGTCCATAACCCGAACATTTTTTTCAGTGAGAAACTTTTTCGTGATTTTCGCGACGTGCGGTCGTGCATTATCATGCTGAAACCAAGGACGACCAGCACTATTCCACTTGGTTATAGGAGATTTTCGAAGGGCCGGTAGAAGATTCTCCTGAAGAGTTTCGACGTACGACTTCACTAGGGAAAAAAAAAGGTAAGTGTGATAAAAAAAAAATTTTTTTTTTCTTTTCTTGTTTTTTTTTCTTTTTTTTCAATTTTTTTTCAATTTTTTTTTTTCTTTTCTTGTTTTCTTTTCTTTTTTTTCAAATTTTTTTTAACTTCTAGACGAACCTGTAACTGACGTATGGAGAGAAACTAGAGGACCAACGCCGAACCACGAGAAACACCCCAATGCATACGGCTTGGACTGTGGCTAACGGTTTCTGAAATACAATCAATATTCCACTCTTCGTGTGGCTTGCACCATACACGGTATTTGCTTCCCTGCTGAAATTGAGTGAACGTTGACTCGTCACTCCAAATTATCTTTTTGAAGTCAT